TTATTCCATTTCAATGAAACTTAGTACAAAGATGCTCTAGGACAATGTACAAACTAATTAGTTTGGGGTAAAAATCTGTTCATATTAATTCCTAATAAGCATAATAATTCATAATTTTTTGGTTCTAATCACATTTCAATTAAACTTGGAGACATGGATTTTCTGTTACATTGCGCAGACCTCATTAGTTTTACACTCAAATCTGGTCATATTAATTTTCTGATTTGCATAATTAGTTTTCAGCTAAGTAATTTCGAATTATATTTAATGTGTCTCCAATACTCTCAGCACATGGGAGTTCTTTCTAAGCTTTCTTTGATTAGTCCCTGTTCGGACGAAATCCGAAAACGGGGACTTTTAATTCAGTCTCCGTCCGGAGTCATATTTCATAATCCTTTGGACCGATTACGTTCATTTTTTGCATGTGCCTAGTACTTTATGTGGACGTATGCACATGCAGTGGTTTAGCGATTCGATTCAAATTGGTAGACTGGCAGCCAACTTGTTTTTTGAAAATGTTGTATTTTGGACATGCTTTGTCAGTTTTCATTCAAATTTGGTACATAGATTATACATGTTAGGATACATGTCCTCCGCCCGTCCGTGCATCCATCCGTCGGTCTGTGCGTTGTTTCTTGGAGCGACGTTTCTTTAAACTAAGATCGTGCATAGTGAGTATGATAAGAGCAACTAGAATTGTAAAAATGAAAGCAGATTTTATTGATGTAATTTGGAATTCCTTTGTGAGATAGGCCATCTCACTTTTTGGCCTTACTGCTATATTTCCAAGATTTATGTACTATTTTCATTTGTATTTGGCACATACATCATACATGTCACTTTGTTTCATAATCAGATCAAAGATGGCCGAATAACAGCTGTTTTTATTTTTGGCCATATTACTATATCTCTGTCACCCATGTATCATTTTCATTGATATTTAGCATGTTATAAATGGATACATGTACATGTCAATTCAATTTGCAATTTGATCAAATATGGCCAACAGGCGGCCACCTTGTTTGTTTAAAATGTGATTCAAAAATTTAACGGGAACTGTTTCGATGATACATGTTTGTGACAAACAGGAAATTGAAAATGAAAAAACATCTTCTCAATTGTAATTTATACAAAGAGGAACGAGAAATCATGATCAAGAATATTAAATACAATAAAAGTAACTTTAGGACGGATCATGAACACCTAACAGATATACTAAAAAGTAAAAATAACAAAACAATCATTGAGCTAGGAAAATTCATCCACAATTACGATAAGAAAACAATCCTAAAATGCCAGATGCCCCAACCAACCACCACATAATTTAAATTTTTTGTCTTCTTTTATACATTCAATTGTCTGTGATTGTCTTACACTTTGTTGTTTTTGTTTTCTTTTTTGTTACTTTATTGTATTTTCAACCAAGATCCCAGTCTAGGATACGGTTTCAATAACGATTATTATTATTATTTACATGAGCGATGCACATACAGCGCCCTCTATATTGATACAACAAAGAGTGACATAATTGTTATTGAATTATTTTCTTGTCAGATGGTTGACCATTATACTAAACGAAAAGACGGTCTATTAACAACGTTAGTGAGACCAGTAGTTAATCCAAAAAATAAAAAAAAACAGTCCAGTAAGTATTATATTTTTATCTCATTAATGCCTCTTTGCCTGAACTGAAATGTACCGGTAGTATTTCCTTGGCTGTATTAAATGGGCATTACCCACATTTTTATCAAGTTTTTCTTATTTCCTAATTTTACTATTGCTAAGCCAAATTGACATAGACTTGTACTATCAAATGAACATGGGGTTGGTTATTCCATGTGTGAATAAATTATAATAATATATCTGTTGCATTATATTTTAACACATTTCGGCTATCCGTAGAGGCTTTCAGAAGGTGATGTAAATGTCAACACATAGCACAATTACTTTCATAATTTGTAATATCTTTGTTTTTTAGGTACTTTTAAACAAAGAATATGGGGTGGAGCTAATGGTGGAGCATCAACAGGCACTGCATCATTGGTATGTACTATATAGACTATATCATTTCCTCATAAGTATCTATATAAACTACCATACGTCACCAGGGGACTCAACATGTAAAATTGGGGAAAGTAAGGTGTGGGTGTATACCTGAGGACCACCCAGAAAAGATGATTTTTTTTAATTTAACATTCTAATCATTCTTAACATTCTAATCATGTTAACATCCTCAACTTGCATTTTTCACTATGATATAATGCATATTTTTTGTGATCATTTCTGTTTCATCATTGTAAAAGTGTTGTTGATGAGCGACCCTTGTTTTATGTTTAACACTTTCCGCTGGACAAAGCGCTACCCGATCATGCGTTTTTTGAGACCGGAGCCAGCAGAGTCTGGAGTCAAACCTCGCGCTCCAATTGGTTCCTTCGGCTCCTCCCCGACCCCAGTACCATGAATTTGGTTCAGTGGGATGAGCAAAGAGGGGTAGCCTGTTCATATTTCGAGACTTCAGGCGAAAACTATCCACGCACTGAGAGCGGCGATCCCAACCTTCGAGTTGTTACCAGCCCACTGGAACGCATTGTTTTGCGCCACCAGCACTCTGAAGTCCTAAAGGCGGAACGCACCAGCCTTCTAGACCAGCAGACACAGCCATTGGTGGGACACCACATGGCTACGCGAATATCCTGCAGTGTCATCTGGCTCTTGTGACAGGAGGTGTCTCTGTGCAGCGGGATGCGGTTTTTGGCTGTTTTCACGGGGCGCGCCACCACCCCAGTTACACAGACTGGACCTCTCTCCCCCACTTTCTTTTGAGGATGGGAAGAGCAGTCTTGGTTATTCTGGATCCCACCGGCTAGTTGGTACAGGTAAGACCCGCGAGCCAGTTTGGCTTCTGCCAAGGGCAAGCGGTAAGGGCCCCAAGCTGAGAAAACGAAACGACCAAAGTTGGCACCCACTGGACAGAAATAGCCAGGAGGCAAGCGTTCTGGCTCTTCTGGAGGAGGGAAAGAAGTAAAAGTGGCGACGCGCCCCTCAGGAAGAAGGAATCTGGTGGTGTCCCCCCTCTCCCTCGCTTGCAGGGGAAGCAAGTCGCAAATGTACCAAAACAAACTTTATTGTAGCAAAACTATTTCAACAACATTAGAACCAATTGCTGTACATTTACCGACAATGTTGATAATAACTTGCTGAGTGTAGTAATATTTAGTTTAACATAATCGTTCAAAGAATGACTGAAGCAAAAGTAAGTCCAGGCTTCTACTTGCAAGTAATGGAGGTTCCAAAGACTACAGGTGGCTGCGCGCTGTTCTGGACTTAAGCAGACAAAATCAGTATGTGCTTCCTGGAAACGCCGAGCACCGTATTATTCTCCGAGCTTTGTTTCTACTGGTTAGCCTCGCTAGTTTTGAGCGATACTTACTCGCACATATTGATTCGCCCAGTTGGGCCAAGTAGTCGAGTGCAGGGTGCTCCCCTTCGGGTTTTTGCATGGCTCCATATGTATTCACCAGAGTGTCGAAACAGGTGGTGCTACTGCTGTGCAGCAAGCACAGGTTTATGTGTTATGCCCAGGGTAAGCAAGACAGACCAGCCTCCCCGACTTCCATGGCCGGGTGGATCACTGCGACCAGACCCGAGGTTTTAACTGTTTGGCTTCCTTAACACAGGATTTACAGAGACGCCAAGTACTAGGTGGCCCCCTCAAGCATGTGGAGAGGGCAGGCTTCTGGACAATGCAAACGTCTTTACCACTTCTACCTACGAGATACCCATTCCATTGAGGAGAGTCCCATCGTGAGCAGGTCAGGCTTTGGTTACTGACCCAGCCCGGATGACCTTAGGAATCCCTGCGCATAGGAGATAGAGTACTCTCTGCTACAGATTTGTGCGCAGAAGTTTCTCCCACAAGCGCTTCTTGGAACCTTTCGACCTACGAACTGTTTCGGCCCTTCTTTTAAAGGCTATTTACCCAAGAATTCGGGTCTCGTTTTCTCGGTCATACCGAACCCCGTCACCGTTCAACATTTGTTCTTTGTTCCGGAGACGGCACTGGCAGGGTAGGACACCGTTTCTTCACTGGTCTCAACTAGGTGGTCATAAGTAGAGGGTATTATCCCGGACTGGGACACCCTTTTTTATCGTTTTCGGTTTGCTCAGAACCAACCTATCGGTGTCTGACTACAGTTCAAAATAATTTGACTGACTGGAGTCTATGGTGGGTAATTGAACGTAGTGAATTTAGGCAGAGGGTTCTCAGAACCCGCCTGTTGACATAGTTCATACCCACCATAGACTTCGGGTTCCCCCGACCACCCCACTTTTTCCGTAGCGTTGGCTTAGTCCACCATGTGGAGAAAAAGAACCAGAGTGATTCGGGAGGCAATATGGCGCCACCTCATTACATCGGTCACGTGGTTTGTGACGTAAAGGGAAAATCAGGCTTCCCCTGACCTAGATTTCCCTCTCCGTCATTGGCAGGATCGCAGATTAATGCCTACAGTTCAAAATAGTCATTTTGACTGACCCGAGTCTATGGTGAGTATTAACTATGTGAATAGGCGGGTTCTGAGAACCTCTGCCTAATTCATTTTGCAGTTTTAATCCCCTCAAAGACTAATCAGCAAATGGTTTTTTAAGTGGGGTGCTTGTCTATGATTGCCCACACCCTATTTGAGCTAAGTACCCTGGGTGCTAAGTAGGATGAGTACACTGTATATCACTGCTACAAACATATGACTATTATTTAACATTTTACCAGCCCAGAGTTTTTAAATTAAGTATACATGTGTGATCAGAAATGCTTCTTTATGCTCTGTCAGACAGAACAGAAATGTCATGTGTAAGTTTTCTTGATTGACTGCATTCATCTCTAGTATGGACATGCACATTTACTCCTATGTAATCTTACAATGACATAGTGCATAGTAAAGACCGGTCACTGATAGTATAATGGTTGTCGTATCAGACTCATGATCAAATCAAGTTCAAATCCTACCTTAGGCTGAACACCAAAAGGGGTCGACTCTTATCCTGAGTGAATGTGACACAGACTCAATGGGAAGACCAGTTCCACTGGCAGAGATTCATTCGCTAACAAATGTGACTTTGGGAAACTTTGGTTCGCATGCAGGTGCTTGTGTTTGACCTAGCCTGATTGATGCCAGGATAGCGCATTAAAATTGCCTTTTGATAGAAAGATGGTCACACAGCCCTGTTATGTAGTCCAAAACATGAATATGACTTCTGTGGTAAAAATGCATGCATCAGCGCTAGCATTTGCAATTTGCACATACATTTAAAAAGGTATTGAGATACAACAGTGACATTCAATGTCCAGAACTGTCGCCTGGCACAAAAACATTTTTAAAAAAATTACATAGTGAAGATTTCTAAGTTTGGAAATTTTCCAATAATTATCTGATAATTATTAACTTTTTAAACCAACATTAGATCTATATAAGACAGGCTGAGATTTTGGAATTGGTAGTTCTCTCAAATTTTTAGATTGATATTTGACAGGTTGAGACTTGTGTATTAGTAAAGATAAGGTTAACGATATCATAAATGTGGACCAAATCCTGACCTGTCTAATTAGTTAGGGGATTTGGTGGTGTGGGAATATTAATATTTTTCTGCATTTTACTGCATTCTTCTGCTTTCTATGAGGTTTACCTAGCAATACTTGGTAACACTTTAAAACAGCACATTCAAGTTCTTAATTTTTTTGCAGTGAATTCATTCTGTCAGTCTGATGTATCTACTGGCTCTGTTACTTTTTTCTCTGTAACATAACTGAGTGACTATCAAGTGTTAGTAGTGTGACTCACTGAGTTATGATGCAGGGGGAAAATTAGAATCAGCATGTACATCAGATTGCTTTATTTTTCAAGGTTTATTAATATTTATAACTTTTTTTCTATATATTCTTTTTCTCACTAATGTTTCATTAACTTGCTGCTTTGCCAAGGCTTCACCAAATGTCAGTCCACGCTTAGTACCTAAAGTGCCGCATCACTCTAGTAGCGGGTCTTTGGATTTTGAAAGTGGTATGTCACCAAAGTTAACACCAAAAGCTCAGAGAAAACCACCATCCAGTCCGCATCTATCACACCGTGGAGATTCACCAACATCTGACACTTCACCAAGTAGTTGTGTTGGTGTATATATTGATAATAGTGTGCTTTCATCTAGTCCGGTACAGGTATTTTAGCTTCATGAATTTCAATGCCCTCTAATCATGCTTGCTGTTTTCATATTCATGCTTCATCAGAAGATACCTGATATTTATTCATTTGAATGCAATAAAGTTTTGAC